CACTGTTGCAGAGGCGTAAAATTGGATTATGACTTTTGTTCGCTCGGGTAAAATGTGTTTGTAAATTTAGGATCTCAAAGGGTTTAACCGTTAGACGTAAAACGGCCAAAAAAAATTAACCATTTGGCGTAAAAATGACAAATTTTAACCGTTGGTCGTAAAAATAGTTAACCATAAAAATTTATCTTTTAATCACCAAGGAAAGAAGTTAACCGTTAGCCGTAAAATGGCCGCAATTTTAACTGTTAACCGAAAGAGTCATTACCTCACTGAGAAATTCTAAATTGAGTACCTACCTTATTTCCACAATACTACCAAGGAAGAGAGGGACGTTAGAGCAGATGCTTTGAATGTACTTATTGGGATCTTTACTGATGTATGAGCACTCAGACTTCTCTTTAACTGGTGACGTGGTGTTGCAGTTTTACTCAAATTCTTCTGAGCTTTTAATCCTTTTCTAATCCTTAGATTGACCTGTGCCGATTATCCGAATAATTCCTGAATGCCAAGACCATTGGCAATCAGTCGTTTTCAGCTTTTGAGCCAATAGGATGGCGCCATATTGTAACCGCTATTGGAACAACTATTATTGTCAGAAATTGGCATGAAATCTTAGCGAGTGATAGAAAAACAAAGTATCGAGCAAAAAGGGAAAATCATTCGTATTTATTAAGTTTGTGCGAATCGAAGACTGCAAGAATCGAACTTTTCGTGCAACAGTTGGGAAAAAAACACTAGCACTTTTTTCAATTAGCAGAAAATAACTAATTTTTTTTCCATCAATTTAAGGATTAGAAAAGGATANTTTTAGTTTCGGGCTAGATTGCTAAGAAATACTAAAAATGACGGTCCGTGTGATCGAGTTTTCATCTCATTTTAGTATAATTTTAAAGGGTTGAGCCACTCTTTGGAATTTTAAGCTTAACGTAAGTGTCATTACTTCATACATATTTGTTAATGGTGGAGATAGAATTTATACGGTTTCTATAACAACTCCTTCCTCACTGATACGCTCTCAAAAGCGAACTAACTCGCAAAGGCCTGATGTTTGCGCGTATTCCTACTCCTTTAAATTACCGTTCCCAAGTTCCGTTAACACGGCCACAATATGTTTCTAGGAGTGGCCATTCCTTAGTTTCTGCATTCTAAGAAATCAGAAACTTAGCTCAAATTAATTAGCTGCGATTAAACTTGTAGTTTCCTGGTGTCCCTCCTTCGAAACGTCAGCTTTGTCACTTTGGACTGTCAAATTCTGCATTTGGAAACGTGCGCTTCCGCTATCTCCTCGGTCGATTGGCAACTTGATATTTCTATTGTTCCCTGAGCCCGCTTTTTTCGCAAATTGCGCCGATAAATGTGTCGTGCTCCACCTTTTTCCAGGATTGCCACTAGCAGCTCTGGGATAGAGCTTAACGAAATCGTCGTAAGCATCACGGTAATGCCAGTTTGGTTTTTCATCTTTCCAGTCTTTGAACATCTCTGTGACCATTTTTTCGGAACATTTCTCCGGAATTCCGTCGGGATAGAGTGGAATCTTAAACTCTTTCTCTATTTCTTTTCCCAACTGGTCGTAGCCTTTTCTTTTGCTTTTGTTGTCTGCTGTGCTACTTCCCTGTTTGTCGTGGTCTTCACTGAGGTCTTCTTCACGGCGCAAACCCCAAGTGAACTCATTAAAAGTCTTAATAGCCCATTTCGCCTCCCGTTCTTCAAAGGCGCTTATGTCTATGAAATAATCGTAAAAGTACATTTAGATTAACTAAACAGATGTCACTAGCTTTGGCAGATTTTAAACCAACCGCTGACCATTACAAAAAAACAACAGCAACATCAACAATGAATCAAACTAATAACAAAACAGACGCCAGAGTATATCTGAAAAGTCTTAAAAAGACGGCCCTCAAGCTTTCGTTATATGCCAAAAACTGCAGGCAGACCCAAGCCATTCAGATGAAACAAATACTCTGATCACAAATGCCCTCTTGAGGCTACATGTTACGGTCCGCCCGACCCTATATTTGATGTCTTCAGCGCCCTAAGCAATGATGATTCTGTTTATTTTGTTCGATACTTTTCGTCATTTCACTTGTATACTTATGCAGTTTTATCGAAAAGTACAAGTGCTTCGTCGCAAATCATATTCGGCCTGTTCCTGCCAGTAGCAGATCAGTGATATGTTTCACGACTTTTGATGGAAACAGCCTCCTTCAGTTCTAGGCGGATAAGTACGAGTTAGATAATGCACAACAAATATTTTGCGTTACCGTGTAGGATATCTTGGTCTTTGAGTATGCAATTCTTATTGATGACCACCACAGTAGCGAAAAAAGCCATGACAAGGAAAACTACCCAGGCGTAAATTTGTGATTGGGCCCCAGCGGTCTCTACTGCCAAGTCGTACTTTTTGAGCTCCTCTGGATCAGTTACGTTTCTCTTGCGGATATCCGGCCCTACCTCGCCGCAAATGTAGTAATCTTTTTGTAAAAATGCCACGCACAACCATACAGACGCCCCCACCAGTGCCTTGACTATGCTGGGAAAGGTGCGTCCACAGAAGAACCCAAAATGATAATAATCTGCCACCAGACACCTGTCAGAGAGTTCCCAGACGTCTCCGATGAGTAGCATGTTGAGGAAGAAAATAATCGTGGCTGGACCGTACAACCAGAAGCGGCCATAAATCTGATGATTCTCCAAGGGACAGTCAAAGACTTCGGCATTCAGTAGAAATTGAAGGCCAAGCACTGCTAGTGAAATTACCAGGTTCGTCAAAGTCGTCTTGTTGTTGGTGATTAGGCCTAGAATGGTTGTTTCTTCGTCAGGCGAGAGCGTTTTCTTGATTTTGTCTTTAACGACCTTGAAATATCTAGATACACGGCTGGAACCTTGAGCCCCAGAATCTTGGGCCCCGGAATCTTGGGCCCCGGAATCTTGGGCCCCAGAATCTGGGGATGGTTCGATCACGTGTGTCTCATTACCAGGCTCTGTTCCCGCAGCGGACATTTTAGATGAAAATGGAAACTGCAACTATGATGGCAGTCGAAGTAAGTGCTTCCCACTGCTTTATTTACTTAAATATTTGTTCCTTTGCGTTTGATGGGCGAATGCAAAGCAAACGCAGGCGAACCTGTAGACAGGCGAAGGAGATCTAGAGCGATGATGTGCGCGAGGCGAACGCGGGGCGAGCGGTGCGCTTTACTGATGCTTACCTCCTCTCCCCTGAAGAACGAAAACAGAAAAAAAATACATTTGAATAATTTTTAAAAATAATATTTGAATAATGAAAAATTATAAACGAAAAAACCTTTGTTGTGGTATCCTTTAAAACAAGACCAACTCGGCATAAAGAAAAATGCATCAACTTTTGCGGCACTCCAGCTCCTCACCATTTCCACCGCTGTCAAATAGGAGGAGTCATTTTTTTCCTCGCTGTTGAACAAGTATCTATTTCTTCACAATACTCATATTCAGCGTATTTTCAGTTTCCTTGCGTGCGGGCCTACTGACTAGAATTTGACAGATTTTCACAGCACCGCTCGCTTTGATCAGAGGCATTCAGC